CAGCAGCGCGCTCTTCGTCTCCAGCAGAGCTCATCCCGATGTGGCTTCCCTCGAGGGGCAAACTCTAGAGTGTTTGCAGCCTACGCCACTTGTTTATCGGGTGAGACTATTTTTCGTGATGTATTAACTTCACGAGAGGTCGACGACCGTCCTTCACACGGACGAAAGAGGGAGTGCTCAAAGAGCGGCTCCCACAGCAAGGAGGGGCCCCGTGAATCATCGCGGTGCCCCCTATCAAACGGTTATCTTACCAGTCTGCGTGACACAAAATCATCCAGCACATGTATCCAACAACAACGTTCGCAGACCCACGAACAGGGTCGAGGTAGACAAGGATATGGTGATGCCGTAGACCATTGTGAATTAGTTGCTTGATTGAGGGGTCGTGTCAGGAAAATCGTGCGTCGAGACCACCAGTAGTCGGACACGGATTGACCTTTCGATACGATTGCAGCAACTAGTCTGCCTAGCAGTAGAAAATATTCCATCTCTCCGTGGCATGTATTCTCTTGTTCTAGAAATATTCCGGAAGCATGCTAGGTCAAGGTTGACCGGGACATCTACGTAGAACGTGTGTAGCTTCTGGAAGCCTTATGGAAACTTCTGGTTCCTTCTGTAAGCTTCTGGAAGCGTTCTAGATCTACCAGAATATAGGAGGGCTTTGTTTGATCGATTATTCGGGTGGCTCAGTTGTGTGCGATGGGAGTGTAGAGCAGCTCGGCCATTACGGGCCGTAGGGGTAGGTAACGTCGTACAGACGTGTTGGAAAACGTGTTGTATACCTGTTGTATCCGTGTTGTTGTATGAATCGGGGGCGTGCTCGTGCTCGTCAAACCATCACGGTATCGAGTCACGCCTTCATGCTTTCTCACACAACGAATCTCTCTGAATCCTCACCAAAAGCCTCTCACAACCAAGGAAAATATGTAGAAAGTTCCTGTTCCTCCGCATCTCATCACTGCAATATTCGTACGTACGTACATAACATCTCAACCATCATACTATGCTACGAGTATATCGAATAA